CTCCTTGAGGGCATACTCACACTATGACTTTTTACTTGTTTTTGGACATAATCGTGATCGGATACATCCAAGTAGTGCACTAATTACGGTCAGATGCATCTTAGATTGTGCTGGTGTGGGCAGACAATACAAAAACACATAAAGATAGAAAACAACACAAAACAACCAACGAGGCATATAGCTCGACAGGCCTCATCAAAGGACTAAGGCTGGAGGGCATGGGGAAGGTGGGAGGGCAGATGACACACAAACACACAAAACAAGGCTGGAAGGCATGGGGAAGGTGGGAGGGCAGATGACACACAAACACACGAAACAGCCAAACCAGAAAAGATACGAGTTGCTAAAAACAAACAAAGACCGAAGATAATAAAGCCGATGATAGATTGTTTTGTCCGAGTTGCGCCGACTCATCAGGAGGCTGAACCCTCTACAATCTGCGGAATCCACGTATTGATGGCTTGAGGTCATGCACCGTTTGACCCTTCGAGTTGTTGGAGGCAGACTGTCTACAAGCAGAACAGGGCAGCAGGCAACAACTTAGCGAAGCGCCAGGCAACGCTGCCAGAGCAACCCAACTGCACAACACCAAAAATGACTGCAAGGAACAACAGGGCAAGCGAAACACAGCAGCTTGGCAGCAACTCAGCCGAGCACCAGGCAACGATGCTAAAACAACCCAACTGCAGAATGCCAAAAATGACGTGGAATGACAGGCCAAGTGGACAAGCAGCACAGCAGCCACACAGTGAAACAAAAGCCAAACTACAAGACACACAAGGGAAGGATGCCGAAGGCATGACACGCGGGCGAGCAGCAAGGTACCAGAGCAGTGAAGGACAAGGCAACACCAACACTGCAGCCGCACCACACAGTGAAGACAACAGCTTGCCAAAAATGACTTGCAAAGCAAGTGGGACGGGCAGCAAGGCAGAGGTGGAGCGCAAACGAGGAAGTTCACACATCCAACATGGAGGAAAGTGGCACATCACCTGCACACATCACGGGTGAACCCCGTAGACTGTTTGTTTGGTTCCCACCACCCACTGAGTTAGGGAGTCGTTCCGACGAACACCCGTCATCACTCGCGGGCAACACAGACATCCCGAACCCAGTGGCCCCCCTCACATCACGGGTGAACCCCGTAGACTGTTTGGTTCCCACCACCCACTGAGTTAGGGAGTCGTTCCGACGAACACCCGTCATCACTCGCGGGCAACACAGACATCCCGAACCCAGTGCCCCCCCCCCCTAGGGTTGCTGCAGGCACTCATAACGAGGAACGATCGACTGTTTGGCACTACTTAGATGTGCGCACCTGGGCATGCAAAAAGTACTTGAAAAAGTAGAGAAAAAGCGTACAAGAGGAAGGCAGCATGCATAAAACTGATTGTGTGCTTGTGTGTGGAGATGTGCAGACGTGTATAAAATATCCCCAACATGACATAATCACGAACACCACCAGTGAAACCACTTCAAAGGTAAAACTGAAATAGTCTTGAGATTGGACGTGAAAGGTCGTCACACATAGCGCCAGGCATCACAAAGTACACAAGGCGGGAAGAAAACAAAGAGCACAGGCCAAAGAAGGAAAAGACACCCAGCCAAACAGTAACCAGGCAAACCACAGCCAACAAGAAAGACAAAATACACAAGATATAGCAGAAGCCGGAAAAAATAAAAATTGATGATGAAAGATTGTTTCGTCGGAGTTGCGCCGACTCAGCAGGAGGCTGAACCCTCAACAGTCTGCGGGGACTTCGTATTGGATGGTTTGGGTCATGAACCCTTTGACCGTTGTTGAAGGCATACTGTCCCCCAAACGGAACATAGCAGCGGGCAGCAACCCTGCGGAGCACCAGGCGGCACAGTAGAGGCAACATGACCGCACAACGCCAAAAATGACTGCAAGGAACGAAAAGGCGCACATGACAAGCAGTGCGGCAACCACGTGATGAAGCACAAGGCAACACCAACAAGGCAACCACCCAGAAGGGGACAACAAGGCTAGGGTTCGAGTAGCACAGCGACCATGCATTGGATCACAAGGCAGCCCCAACGAGGCAACCGAACTCCAAGGCGTGCAAGCGAAGGACACGGGAGGCACGACCAGCGGATGAGCGGCAAGGCGGCGGAGCAGCGAAGCACAAGGCACCACCAGCAACACGGCCACACCACACAACGAACACAGCAATTTGCAGAGAACCACATGCAAAGCAGCATATTGCCTACTCACATTATGATTGAATACTCCAGACTATTGGTTCCCACTACCCACTGAGCCAGGGAGACACTCCAACGAGCATCCATCATCATCCACAGACAACACAGATATCCCAAACTGAGCACCCCCCTTAAGAGTGCTGTAGGCACTCCAAACGAGGAATGACCGACTGTTTGGCACAACTTAAAAGGTGATCAGTAGGGCAGACAAACATGGTTACAGAAAATAGGAGAAAGGCGGAAAAACAAACTTACATACCAAAAACTGATTTTTTTTTTTTTTTTTTTTTTTTTTT